AAAAAAAAAAATGATAGGAAATGAATCTGACGTGATTCGTCCTTTGCCGATTGTCACGCGAGCCCTTGATCGTAACACAAGCATTGTCCATCTATATATCGTGAGATGTGTGTGTGTGTGTGTGTGTGTGTCTGTCTGTCACGTAATCTGTTTTCTGGCCACAGGGATTCACGATCAATTAGCCTTATTTCTGACTGAGAAATGTTTCTGTCTCGTTTTTCAAATCGATCTCCACTGTGAATATCTAACGCTGGTGAGTTTCCGCCAATTTAACGCTAGGACTACGATTAAAGCATGAAATTTCCATCAGGGACATTGAAGTGAAAAAAAGTCTGAGAGACTACACGAGCTTCTATCTGTATATTTCACAAAAAGTCATTTAAAGATACGCTGCTTTACCTGTTGAGTCGCTCGCGCGGTTTATCGTCTGTCGACTCAAACTTAATTCTCGTATACAGACACGTTGAAATGATAGGACGTTTCACCGTAGTTAGCTGTCTAATTGCGAGTCTAATTTCTATCTTTTTCAATTCTGACAGCCAATTAATTTAAAAGAAGGCTCGTTCGATTGCCCTGAACTAGGTGAACTTACCTAACCGTTATTTCGAATATTGTGTTACGAATGACCGCTTTTGGAGGACTCTAAACAAAATAGATCCCCGTCGATCGGTGATGACAACAACAACAATAATAATAATAATAAGCGAGCCATTACCTTTAGTCATAAATATTCCAAGTTTAGAAAATAGATCGCGCTTTAGAGAACTCTTTGATTTAGAGAAATCTGTATATTTGCGTTTATCAAAGCTTCAACACTACGTCTATAAAGTATCTAAGAAAAATTACAAACTTGATAATGCCAGTGTCATCGAATAGACACGACTTACTGTTCTCTTCGGTATTCGATCGCCCATCAGCTGGCAGATGATGAACAGCGTGTTGATTATGAGGAAACCGGCGATAGTGATGTAGATGATCGCAGCATCGTCCAGCTTGAAATGCGTCCTGATCGAGATCCTCTGGAACGAGTTCAGCGGATCGACGATCAATCCGATCGAGAACACGGCCAAAACCTGTGTGACAAGCATGTACAAATTTCATGTATATCTGATAAACGGTGAAGTTCTTCACTTTGGCCGTGAAGTTCACGCGATATCAGCGAGTATTACACTTACAACTTCCAAAACTTTCGTCAGAAGGGGCATGTGCCTGATCAGTTTGCGCTCCTTAGGAGCAGGCTGGCTCTCCTGCTGGCTCTCGTCTGCCATTCTCACTCTGCGATGCTTTCCTCTACCGTCACCCAGTTTGAACGATTTCGCGTCTACCCTTTGTCCGACGATCAATCCTTTCCAACCCCTTGCTTCTAATCCCCCTTCATCAAGAGCACTGAACCTTGGCGGTGACAAATAACGCGATATACATCCACGTATCGCTCGCGTAAATTCGAGGCCGCGAAAAGCGATTTCGAACGTGTGATTTTGAAACTCAGAGATTTTCGGAACGCCGGAATCGTTCGTCATGAAATCGGAATCGTAAATCAAGCCTTGCTTACATACCGTACGTAATTAGCATTCTTAACGTTACTGACTCATACGATCATAGACAACATGATTCAGTGACAGGATAGCCGGTTTGTGGGAAAGAAAAAGCCGAGTTTATTTTACCACGCGACCTGTTAGATGTCGTTGACAGTGTTTAAGTCGAGAAGTTGAAAACGGAAAAAGGTAAGCTTCGGACAAATCGCACGGATACTTGTAACTGATACGTACCTTTCTCAACTTGGGTTACTCGCGGACACACTGAATGTACTTGTTTCAAAATCGAACGCACTCTCTCGAGTCACGAAGCCTTTACTTCGTTTACTTTGCGATAGCCAACGTATCTCACAAATTCAAACGTGTTCGTTCGAAAGCCGAGAGGATCCTGGAAATGGAATCACGATCGATCGATGCAAGGAGGCGCAAGTTGCTGCCGTGGAAGAAGCACACCGTGGCAGAGTTGCACACCGTGTGGCGGACCAACTTAAACTGGAACGCGAAGCGTGACACACTGCGAGTGTGGCTACGCCGTACGTGCAAGTTGCGCAGGCTGTCTAACCAACCGACTTTGCTAACCAGGTTCACCGTGTGACCGTGTCGCATACTCGCCCGCTCCTCGATCGTTGTCGATCACTGCCGCCCAATATCACGAAGATACCGTGATACTGCCACCACTTTCCAATTCGTTTTAACTACGATCTCGGATCGAATCGGATCAGCTTGTCTCTTCCTTTTCTCTTTCATTTCCTTGTTTTTTTTTTTTTTTTCCAGCGAGGGAACTCGCGTTACGTAATAGTCACTTGCGGACTTGTTGTTTGCTCTGCTCTTTCTTAGTCATGGAAATTCTTTTCGTTCAACTTTCAACAGCCGCTCGAGCAGTTAGTCACTGCTTTGTGTTATAGTTGCAGAACATGCAACATGGACCGATGGTTTTTGGTTTTGGTACTCGAGCGAGTCGATCGATTGCGCAAGGAGAAATTGATAGTACAACGTGCTTTGCAAATTCTTTCCTAAGATTTCAACTCGCAGGAATCTGAGAATTGTTGATATTTTCTTTCGAAAATTTTTTCATTACTAAATTCACCATTGCTTTAAAGATCGACGTCTCCCCTTTACAAAAAATCCCTCAAAATTTATTGTACGACTTCCTTCTCATTGTTGAAACTGTAAAATTTGTGAGTATCGAATATATCCTGGCAACCAACTGTGCACACACTTTTGACGGATTCTTTGTCATACAAATCGTTTAATTTTCACCACTTTTGAAACAAGTATAGCACTTGCCCCGAGACCTTCCATGTATCTCGTTGCAGAGGAGAGAATAATTGAGTTTGTGGGCGAGGCTCCTTCTTCTCTCGGTTAAGTCGGTCGAAGCGAGCAGCAATTTCAATGAAACTCGATTTACGTCGATGATGTAGCCGATATATTTGCCTTATATTTCGCGTCACGCTTGACAAATTAATTAGGGAATATCTGCAACGCCTTAATCAGCTGCGCAACCGGTCTTCAAACAATTAGACAAGCGTTCCTCGAGTGATCGTCACAGTGACATCGTGTAATCGTGTAATCGATACTGGAAAAACAGGTGTATTTGACGTATTCTGCAAAGACGTTGAAAACGCATCAACAAATCAACAAGACTGGAGAATCTGAAGATTTGAAAGCCTATCGACTGAAGCAGCTTCAATGTAAAATTAGCCAAATTAATTAATTAATGTTGACTCCTTTGTCAAGAATCACGTTTCAAATCTCTGCACCGTGCGAGTTTCAACTGCCGAGTTCTTCAGAGAATTGAATTAACCCCGCGTTCTTAACGAATGAAGCCTCGTTACGAGCCGCGTTCGAAGATCTACAAACTCGAAGAAACTTAAAGAGAGGTAGATAGAGATAGATGGATAGATTCCAAATTGGAATGATGACAAGCTAAAAAATATTCTCCAGCCGAGAATTACGATTCTCTTTCGAAGTGATTTGGGAAACGGCTGATAGATAGAGATAAATAAATATAGATAGATAGATAAATAGATAGATAGATAGATAGATAGAGAGAGAGAGAGAGAGAGATAATAAGAATATTTCCAAATTAGGATCACAACAAGTTAAAAATATTCTCCAACCGAGAAAATTACTCTTTCGGAGTAAAGATTTGGGAAACGTTTGATAGACAGAGATAAATAAATAGATAGATAGATAGAGAGAGAGAGAGAGAGAGAGAGAGAGAATATTTCCAAACTAGAATCACAATTTAAAAATATTCTCCAGCCGAGAAAATTTCGGAAACTCTTTCGGAGTGACGATTTGGAAAACGGCTGATAGATAGAGATGAATAAATAGATAAATAGATAGAGAGAAAGAGAATACTTGCAAATTAGAATCACAACAATTTAAAAATATTCTCCAACCGAGAAAATTACTCTGTCGGAGTGGTGATTTAGGAGTGGTGATTTAGGAAACGATAGATAGATATAAATAGATAGATAGATAGA